ACTTTGTTTCTCTTCTTCGTCCTTCTTTCTTCTTTCTGCGAATATCTACATCTTTCTTTCTTCTTTTTCTTTTTCTTTTTTTTTATTAATATTATATTATAAGATCATGATCATGAAAGAGAGAGAGAAAGAGAGCGAGAGAGAGAGAGAGAGAGAAATTAACACGTGTTAATTTGCTGCGACCACCACGGTAACGTAAATTAAATTGTTGGATCGTTATGCCATCTCGTAAATAGATTATTATTGCGAAGGTTTTTTTTTTTTTTTTTTTTTTCAGTCATAATTCAAGCGTACCAACGTGAAATCCGCTGGTTTTATTTTAGTTCTCTATTTTTTCTCGAATTCGATTGAGCTCCTTCTTCATCTTTTCCTTTGCCTAACACGCCCACCCATCTTTTGTACCTTTGCCTGGCTCTAGGAAAAGATTGATATTTTATCTGTCGTTAAATATCAGAAGATTTTCTGTACGATGAATGATATTTGATTAATTCATTTTATATTTACATTTACAACATCAAAATACGTGGTACATTAATTTTATTTTATTTGTTTTATCACATCAAAAAGATTATTTTACAATGAATCGATACACCTAATATTATTTTTTTATCGAAATAAATCAGAAATAAATAAATAATGACAATTAGCCAATTTATCGTCATTCGTTAATTTTTTTATTAAACTTTTGTTTCGAACCATTATGAATTGATAAGAATGCTTAATTTTATTCTGAAACACGCGTGCACAAATATATCAGTCAAGATAAGGTTGAAACGTTTCTGAAGAGCTTGGCAAGATACAATATTGCTGTGAATGAAGGGCGTCAAAGGGCGTCGTCTTAATAAAAATATCTTGATAATAAATTACACTTGAATCGGCATATTCGATATCGATTATCAGGTGACTTCAATGAATCTGACAAGATTTCCTCTGCCTTTCAGGGGCCACCAGGATTAGACGGCATGAAGGTGAGCAATCCTCGGGGAGACCCGTTTAACCATACATTATATTTATGATTTTTGGATCCTCGATTACTACGCTCACACTACGATTTCATCACATTCAGGCATAGATTAAGTCCTGGTTGAAAACATAACGGGTATTGTTCGAGCGTGTGCGTGCAGATCACATTATTCGTTATATTTCTTCATACTTGCAGGGTGCGCAAGGAGAACCAGGGACAAAGGGAGAAAGAGGGGATCCTGGCCTACCTGTAAGTATCCTCTTCCCAAATGAAAATGAAAAATTATTGAAACTATCCTAGAATTTTATAATTAATATTTGTTACTAAAAAACCATTTTTCATTCTAAATTTGCCAAATAACGTTTCAATTAGCGTAAAATGGGGTGAATAAAAAACATCTTTATTAATCTTTCAAAAACTTATGAACGATAAATATAATTAGATCGTGAATTTTTATATAGCCAGTATTCAAATTTAATTTATATTTTAATATTCATTAAAATTCCTTTTTGTTTCATCTCGATATTTCGATCGGTTACCGAGGCAAAAAAGTTTCTATAGAGGTGCGAAAATAAATGGGGCTATGACACAGTGACATACATTTTTTTTTGTGTCTACGTCTTTCCAGGAATGTATTTTTCTAACAATTACGGCTGTTGTATTTGTCTGAAGTTTAGAATGGGTCATTAAGACGAGCGGGAGATCCGAGACTAAGTGACAAAGATAGAAATAGTAAAAATGAAAAATTACTTTTTTCTTTACACGACGATATCTCGGCAACCGGGAATTGTATCGGGATAAATAAAAAACGTTTTAAAGAGGAAGGTTCTACGCTTCTAATGATCGTTCATTCGTTGGCCAAAGATTATTAACTTCGAAGTTATAGCGGTTTAAAGTTTTGCTAATTTTAATAGAATTTCTAAGGTATATTGCGATAACTCAGCGAGAAAGACGTGCGAGCGAAAGATCCGAATAAGTGACAATGATGGAGATAAACGATAAAAAATTATCTTTTTCTTTGCACGACGATATCTCGGCAACCGGAAGTCGTATTGAAATAAATGAAAAAATATTTTAAAAAGGAAGGTTCTGCGCCTCTAATGATAGCTCATTCGTTAACCGGAAGTAACTATCTTCGGAATTACAACGGTTCAAAATTTTACTAATTTTAATAAGATTCAATTGGGTAAATGATTAAAAATTACTTTTCTTTTAGATGATAATATCGCAGGAACCGGAAATCGTATTAGAATAAATGAAAAAATATTTTAAAGAATAAGATTCATATTCAATGATTCGAAATTATAACGATTTAAAGTTTTTCTAATTTCTAATTTCTAATTTTGCTCGTAAGAATCTTATCAATGATATATTGAAGATCCAATGCGATTATTCAAAGCGTGTTAATAAAATTTGCGAGTTTTCTTAAATTTACCTTACTCTTATTGCGTGAGAAATTGAAAGTTATTCGAGTATTAAAGAAAAAAGACAAATAACTCAATCGTAACTTAAAAAAGATTATTTTTTTTTTTTTTTGCTAAAATTTTCTTTCTACTTCCATCCACCCCATTTTACGACACTTTCCCAACAATCGCAAACTCTACCATAGCACGAAGTTTCAAGTTGTCTAATCCTCTTATTATCAAAACGGCTCGATGTCCGATCTAACTATTTAACCGTGAACAACGATATTTCATCCGAGCTGAAACTCGATTACGATGTCGTCGAGACACCCAACGACACATTCTGTTTATCCCCAGGGTACCGATGGAATTCCTGGCGCGGAGGTACAGTGGCATTCGATTATCGCTCGCCCCTCGGTGTGACTGCGACACAGTCTAACCAGCCCGGGGTAACGACGATACATCTGCCTGATCTACCCCGGGGACTGCCCCAAAATTCGTCTCTTTACTTCTTTTGCACGAAAAAGGAGGGGGCTGAAATTAAAAGTTTTGCGCCTTTCTCCCTCTTTAACACCAAAGATGTTGTTGCACGATCATCCCTTTACTCTTGCAAATTTTATCGATTATTTATTTGCCACTTCAAAGTATACATTTCGAAAATTTATTTTCTCTTTCGATTTCGTAGTTATTTTTTTTTTTTTTTTTTTTTTTTTATCTTGTTATGATGTAGTGAACAGTAGTAGTCTGTTCGATCGAGCATTACGAGATTTGAATTTTATTAAGGCAATTCGAAAATTTTTACGAAATTTTCAATGTTAAAAAGAAGTTGGAAATATAAGATGGAATTAATAGTCAGAGATATTATTTGTTAAAGAGTCAAGTTTTTGTGTACACAGTGGCTCATCGTTAATATTCGGGCATTCGTTTTTTTTTTTTTTTTTTTATTTTATTGATTGTTTTTTGATAAATATTTTTTGTAGCTGGTTGCGCAGTAAACAATAAATTGGATATGACGAAAGTTAAAAAATATCGCGAAAATATTTTTCTATAAATTTTGTAATTAAATTACAAAATTTACATTCTAAATCAATGATAAAATAAATTGAATATAAACCGATGTTTATTAAATTTTTATTAAATTTCGCCATTATTTAATTTATTGCATATCGGGCAAAAAAGAATAAATCGAATAAATAAAATTTATTTATAGAGAACAATCAATAACATGTCATGTCAGAATATTAATAAAACGGATCACTGTATATTTACGTTAAAGTGACAATTTTAAAGACTACAAAAGCTATGCGTGTTTTGTACATATGCATTCTCTGTTCCTTTTTTTTTGGAAATTTTTTTTTTTGAAAATTATCAAATCGAGTAAAAAATTTCTTGAATATTTATTAACCAAACTTTCTATAAATTTCTTAAAAATTCTTTATAATAGGATTTTTTCGCTCGAATGAAAATTAACCTGTTAATTATTTTCAAAATTTAATTAAATCTAAAAGAGAGGGAGAAGCGCACAATCCTCTCCATTTTGATATTCAAATTCTCTAAGAATGTACAAAACTGATAAAAAAAAAAAAAAAAATGATACAAAAAAAACAAACCGATCATCCGTTAAAAATTAAAAGTAAAACGGGTTTCAAATGTAATTGTAGCTTTCATTGCTTGCTTCTTTTAACATTAATTATTTAATTTTCACGCATTTGTGATCGTAGTCACATGTTGTATGCCATTTGAAAGCAAGTTTCGCATAGAGAAATTGTATAATATAGAAAAGTTCTTTTCTATACAATACGTATCGTGCATGTAGAAAAGAAACGAAGAGAGGCACGACCGTCACTTAACGAATAAATTCTTTGACGTACCAATTCCAGGGACCGAAGGGAGAGAAAGGTGCTAAAGGCGAATCTGTGAGTATTGATGAAATTCGACTAATCAGTTTTAAATAATTGGGCAAAGGAAAAAAAAAAAAAAGAAAAAAATTACGTAGTTTGTGGCGAGCGAGCAAGCTCATAATAAATTCTTTATACATTCGATCGAATTAAAAAAAAAAAAAACTCTCTGATTGACGAGAAATTTATTCCTCGTTCCTAGATCTAAAAATCTGTTGTATACAGTTCATTACTAATATCATATTTACACCATTATTATCATTAACAATAAACTGCTATCACGTTGCCAACTAATACCGATTAATCAATTATTCGCATATATAATTTAATTTTAATTGTCACGTGTGTTCCGATCCTTTCTTAATCTTAAATTTTTGTAGCACAAAGTTGTAAGATTTGTCTATCATTTGTCAAAAATAATGGGATAATACACTGTGTTCATTGCACACACGCATGTAACGTTGAAAGACGAGGAAAATCATAAATAAAAAAAAGAATAGATAGATTCAATTTTTTATGCGTATTACGTGTGCTGCCACCAGCGTATAAATTAATAAACTAAATAACTTCCTTAGAAATGTGCATAGCATAACATTAGACTACCCACTACTTTCTTTTATTATTCTGAATAAGCTCGACGTTTAAAGATCGATCAAAGACAAATTTTATACATATACACACATATGTATACATATCACGACGCCTTTATCTTGGACCGTTTAATGCTCATTTGCACAGTTTTTAATCACGATTTATTATTATTGCATAAAGAGATTTTTTATCTTGTGCCTGGCCTTTTTTGCACGTCCGCGAAAATAATTTCGCCTGTACGTTAACACGCCATTTGGATGCTGAAACGTTTCTCGTGTATGAATACAGGGACCGCCGGGGAAACGGGGTAGGAAAGGCGACAAAGGCAACAAAGGAGATCAGGGTGTACCCGGCCTCGATGCTCCCTGTCCATTAGGGGCCGACGGACTTCCGCTGGCAGGATGCGGTTGGAGGCCACCCCAGGTATCTCACCAGGTTCTCCCTATTCGTTTCAATTAATTCTTCTCGTCGGCTTAACCAACGTCGGGATGGACGACTTCCTTGTTCTTGTCTTCTTTTCTCACGTTTCTCTTTTCCCCACCTCCCCCCATTTATACGCGCTGATACTTGATTCTTTTTTCTTTGAGCCAAGGTTTATTTATCTAATCGGTTCTATTGAAGATTGAAGTAATTTGGGGTGGGAGAATTTTCTAGATATATGTATATATATATTTATATAGATTGAATAAGTATGAAGGTTTAACCTTTATCCTTAGAGTACTTGGCATGATTATTTTCGATTGTTATTAACCCTGAATTGACGCACGAGAAAAGAATTTATAGATTCTAGGGTATAAGTGATAGTGAATTAAATTTTGGAAATATTCAAATTAAAGAAACGAATAAAAGCAAAAGTGTGCCAAGATACAGGGTTAATTTAATCATCGTCAACCTTTGCTTTCGTTGGAGTAACTAACAAGTGTCGGTGTGTAACAACGAGAGATAAAAATCGAAATGTCTATAATAGTAAGCTTGGAACATGATTGGTGAGAAGGGGAGTTGTAAAACAAACAAAAAAAAGAAAACTAAGTAGGTAGAAACGCTTGGATTCTCGTATGTGCTTAGCAGGACATCACTAGCACCTCGATACCAGCTGTCGAAGGTCCTGAACCTGCAGAAACGGATTACGAGGAGCCGGAAGAGGAATACGAGGAGTATACGGATCCGAATGGAAATCTAGCCGAGCAATAATTGCTCGTTGTGCGCTGCCCTAATCACTACCAACAACTACCACCACTACTACCACTACCATCACCACTACAACCACCAAAACCACCACAGCCATCGCCCTCATCACTCGTCTCACCTTGCTCTCCCAAACTAACGTGGTCCTGGTAATTGCAAGTCCCGTAGTTATACTAACTGTTGTGTGCATGTACAGTCGCGGCTATATATACCATGCTCCTGAATAACGGAGAAGAAAACTACGATTTCGATAAAATTAATCTTGCAAATCTTATTCCTTCCGGTTTCATTGCTGCATCATCCCAATTGTTGTACCTATTCTACGCTGTAATAGAGTGAAAGAAGTCTAAGCTTGCTTTGCTTTCCTATTTATAAAAAAGGATTGATCCATATTAAAAAAGAAAAAGATTTAATAGTAAGGTTAAAAACAAGTAAATTGTAACAGCAATATTTTCTGGCTGCCTATGCTTGTCTAAAATTGTCCGCTTTTCATTTCTCGTTTGCTAACTAATTAAATATTAATGACGAAATGCATAAAATGCAAATCACGACGAAAATGGAATCGTTTCGAAATTTCAAAAGCATACGACGTACTTTTACTTTTTATTGTATTTCAAAGCGATCATCTTCTATTTTTTTTTTTTTTTCTTCTCTCTTCATCTTTGAATGCGAACACAAATCTTCATTACGTTTGCTTTAAGCTTTAAAGAAACGTCGTTGCAAATATTTACATCAGAATTTCTTTTTTTTTTGATCTCGTGTTTTCAGAGAAGAAGGAATATTCTTCACGATTGGCTAGAAGAGGAAGCGCAAAAGGAAGAAGGGCAGTGATACAAACGCATTAAAAGAAGAAGATAGTACATATTTTCGAGGACCTCTGTGTATACTCCATACGTAAAAAAAAAAAAAGGAAAAAAAGAAAAACAAAAAAAATTTATCCAGTTTAACGCGAACTAGAATCGAGTTATTTGAGAAAAAGAATATATATATTTTTTTACATATATATATATTTTTTTTCTTTTTTTTGGCATATAATTACACGTATGCCAGAAATAATATTCTTGCCATCGGGTGTTGTAAATAAGTGTACTTACAGTGTTTAGCGTCCGCAAATAGTGCGTGTACATAAATATTTAGAGCTTACTACCGGAAATGCGGTTAGAACATCATAATTTTATCGACAATTTGTTTATAATTGTAAACGTAAACACCGGTAATTTATAAATTACTTTAATTATAAGTAAAAGTGAGAGAGAGAGAGAGAGAGAGAGAGAGAGAGAGAGAGAGAAGAAC